GAGGTTAGCCACCCGAAGTCAATAAGAGACAAAGAAATAATCCAAGCAGCCACCACTATCTAGCCTGACCGTGGTAAATTCTAACAGGGGACCTTAAATTTTATAGAATAATAATAATACAGGCAACTAACCAACCACTACCGGGCCGCCTAACCTAACCACTACTTTCGCCGGAGGTTTCGTCACGCTCCCCGATGGCGAAATCCTCCATTACAGCAAAAGTGTCTGTTTAACCTAACCTTAGTACAAAGTCTATTGGTGTCCTCAATTTTATAGAGGTTAGCCACCCGAAGTCAATAAGAGACAAAGAAATAATCCAAGCAGCCTAAACTGTTTAGCCTGACCGTGGTAAAGTCTAACGGGGGACCTTAAATTTTATAGAATAATAATAATAATACAGGCAACTAACCAACCACTACCGGGCCGCCTAACCTAACCGCTACTTTCGCCGGAGGTTTCGTCACGCTCCCCGATGGCGAAATCCTCCATTACAGCAAAAGTGTCTGTTTAACCTAACCTTAGTACAAGGTCTATTGGTGTCCTCAATTTTATAGAGGTTAGCCACCCGAAGTCAATAAGAGACAAAGAAATAATCCAAGCAGCCTAAACTGTTTAGCCTGACCGTGGTAAAGTCTAACGGGGGACCTTAAATTTTATATAATAATAATAATAATACAGGCAACTACCTAACTACTACCGGGCCGCCTAACCTAACCACTACTTTCGCCGGAGGTTTCATTACGCTCGATGGCGAAATCCTCCATTACAACAAAGTGTCTGTTTAACCTAACCTTAGTACAAGTCTATTGGTGTCCTCAATTTTTATAGAGGTTATACCCCAGAAGTCAATAAGAACAGAAATAATCCAAAAAGCAGCCCTATTGTTTAGCAGCCGTGGTAAAGTCTAACGAGGGGACCTTAAATTTTTATATAATAATATGTACAGGCAACTAACCAACCACTACCGGGCCACTAACCTAACCACTACTTTCGCTTGAGTTTCGTCACGCTCCCCGATGGCAAAATCCTCCATTACAACAAAAAGTGTGTCTGTTTAACCTAACCTTAGTACAAAGTCTATTGGTGTCCTCAATTTTATAGAGGTTAGCCACCCGAAGTCAATAAGAGACAAAGAAATAATCCAAGCAGCCACCACTATCTAGCCTGACCGTGGTAAATTCTAACGGGGGACCTTAAATTTTATAGAATAATAATAATACAGGCAACTAACCAACCACTACCGGGCCGCCTAACCTAACCACTACTTTCGCCGGAGGTTTCGTCACGCTCCCCGATAGCGAAATCCTCCATTACAGCAAAAGTGTCTGTTTAACCTAACCTTAGTACAAGGTCTATTGGTGTCCTCAATTTTATAGAGGTTAGCCACCCGAAGTCAATAAGAGACAAAGAAATAATCCAAGCAGCCTAAACTGTTTAGCCTGACCGTGGTAAAGTCTAACAGGGGACCTTAAATTTTATAGAATAATAATAATAATACAGGCAACTAACCAACCACTACCGGGCCGCCTAACCTAACCACTACTTTCGCCGGAGGTTTCGTCACGCTCCCCGATGGCGAAATCCTCCATTACAGCAAAAGTGTCTGTTTAACCTAACCTTAGTACAAGGTCTATTGGTGTCCTCAATTTTATAGAGGTTAGCCACCCGAAGTCAATAAGAGAAAAAGAAATAATCCAAGCAGCCTAAACTGTTTAGCCTGACCGTGGTAAAGTCTAACGGGGGACCTTAAATTTTATATAATAATAATAATACAGGCAACTACCTAACCACTACCGGGCCGCCTAACCTAACCACTACTTTCGCCGGAGGTTTCGTCACGCTCCCCGATGGCGAAATCCTCCATTACAGCAAAAGTGTCTGTTTAACCTAACCTTAGTACAAAGTCTATTGGTGTCCTCAATTTTATAGAGGTTAGCCACCCGAAGTCAATAAGAGACAAGGAAATAATCCAAGCAGCCTAAACTGTTTAGCCTGACCGTGGTAAAGTCTAACGGGGGACCTTAAATTTTATATAATAATAATAATACAGGCAACTAACCAACCACTACCGGGCCGCCTAACCTAACCACTACTTTCGCCGGAGGTTTCGTCACGCTCCCCGATGGCGAAATCCTCCATTACAGCAAAAGTGTCTGTTTAACCTAACCTTAGTACAAAGTCTATTGGTGTCCTCAATTTTATAGAGGTTAGCCACCCGAAGTCAATAAGAGACAAAGAAATAATCCAAGCAGCCAACACTATCTAGCCTGACCGTGGTAAATTCTAACGGGGGACCTTAAATTTTATAGAATAATAATAATACAGGCAACTAACCAACCACTACCGGGCCGCCTAACCTAACCACTACTTTCGCCGGAGGTTTCGTCACGCTCCCCGATGGCGAAATCCTCCATTACAGCAAAAGTGTCTGTTTAACCTAACCTTAGTACAAAGTCTATTGGTGTCCTCAATTTTATAGAGGTTAGCCACCCGAAGTCAATAAGAGACAAGAAATAATCCAAGCACCACTATCTAGCCCTAAGCTATTTAGCCTGACGTAGAGTTTTTAATAAATCTGGTGATATGGAGACCACAGCCCCCATAACCTGGGATAATGCAATCAAAATGGATAATTGCTAACTATTCTCAGAATGAAAATGCAATCAAATGGTTGATTTGCTAACCAGGGGGCTGCGCCAGACTGTGTTAGATACTGTATTTGGTCTTGATGAATTGTTTATTAGACTATAAGAAATCCTCTTCCTTCTTGTATTGGCAAGGGGAGTTTGCTTTAACTTAGGTATGCTAGCCTAAGTAAAAATAGACACGGAGCTGCGAAGACCTGATTCTTTTGCTGCATGTTTGAGTCTGCAACTTTGTTGTGATAAGACACTCAATCCTAGTGATTGTACTTACTCAACATAGTGACGGTGTAATTACCATCACAGATTGTACGGGAAATTCCAACTTTGGAAAAAACAAATATTTGGCCTACCCAAATTTTGACTACTACCCGTGCGTCTACGTCCTGGATTGGCCAATCAGTGGTGCCCCACGGTGGCGTGATACATGCACGTTTACTGCGGTGCTCTGATTAGCTGACCGAACGTGGCGTGGTAGGTAGGCTGTTTCTACTCTCTAAGTCCTCTTCTTTCCTTTTTTCATCCCCCTCATGCACTCCGTTCTTTGAACGGGAGGCGGGACTTCGCGATACGGTCGATCCAGCAAGGGAGACCTGTGATAGTGCAGGGCACCCCTTAATCCAGGGTCTGGTAGGTGTGGCACAGGTCATTACTATAGTCTGGGTAACCTGGGTGCAGAGCCCGACGCCCGTCCAGAGGGGGGGGGGGCAGGAGTCACTGCTCCCAGGCAGGCCTATGTTATGGGTAGGATTAGATGTAATCAAGAAGATGACCAACTAGCACATTAGAATAAAACATAGAGATAAGGGACACTCTATTGGAAGGGGAAAAGTGGCAGAAATCACTTACAACAAACTGCAAGTCCCACTAACTAGAATATTCAGCACCAATGAAGGTTTTAAAGTAATCTGTAAAGATGACTTTGATTCAGATAAAATCCTTTCAAAAGAAGCAAGAGATATATTTTACAATGAAGGCCTTATTGTTGTCATACCACCAGAACAAAAAGCAAAAAGATCAGTTTTTGTTCGTCAAGTCGATCAAGAGATCGGGAGGAAGACCTGAAAGAAGAACTGGAACGCCAAAATAGGTGGATGAAGATTGAAGAAGTCATTAAGATAAAGGACTATACTCATGTTTGAAGAAGTGTCAATGGCTGAGAAAGTTTTACAACAGGGCTTTCTAATATTCAACATGTCAGTCACACCACATCAAATAAAGAAGGAGACATTCATCAGTCTGCAAACTTACTTCTCCTGCTACAAATATGAAGAACACACAACGAGAGACTGTCCGGAAAAAGAAAAAAAGTACTGCTCAGATTGTGCAGGCGACGACCATACCTACACTGAATGTAAGAATACATGTTGGCTGTCTCAACTGTAAGAGAAACGGGAATGTAATACATAGGACGTTAGCAATGGCATGCCCACCTGTCAAAAACACATGATAAAGTACAAGAAACAAGGAAAGGAACAAGACAGAAGGATACGACATACGTCGAAATAGCAAAAGAAGAGCGGTCCAAGGGCTCATAGACCAGAATCCACAGTAATATTAAACCTAAGTGAGCCAATACACTTGATAAGGTAATGATTAGTATGATCATGCACATTTGCACAATATCTATTTGCACCCGGATCATACAATGAGAATTAAGGAAA